AGAGCAAAAAGGGGTAAGGTTTTCTCATTCATGTACGATTCTCCCACACACATACCGAAGGTTTAATGTAAGAGCATAGAAAATATTAGCTGACAAGACATCTTATATCATATCCATTTTTCTTTTTAATCTCGCTCAGGCTTGTTTTTGGCAACTGCTGAGCCATGACTTTAAGATGGTTTCAATGAAATGCAAGAAAAGCTCAGGAGACAGGAAAACCTATGTAATCCATAAATAATTTTGCTTTCAAACTGCTGTTACTGACGTGATGAGAGCGACAAACGAGCGCCGGCGACGCATCGATCTGGCGGGTGACACGAAATCTGCAACAAGAGGTTTCACAACCATGAGTTAAACCTCTGAAATGGTGTAAGAAGATCCTCCCCTGAGACCGAAACCCTCCATTATGGACTGAGAGTAAACGGCACATAGTCACTAGGGTTAAAAAAAAAAGAAAAAGTTCAAAAGCTTCACCTAAAGCTGAATAAACATCATCTGATAAATGAGCAGAAACCAGAGCCTCAGAGGGCCTTGAGAAATCCTCCCACGGTCCCACAGCCACTAGTGAAAGTTTCTGATGTCCACAATGACACACGGTAAACAATCTCACTATTTATCCTCGTCAAGTTTTTAACCTCAGTTGTGGAGGACAAGGGAAAAAGTGTAAGGTCTAGAGAATAAGATATGGAATGAAGTCTGGAGACAAATATTTCTTCTTTCTCATCCAGATCTGGACGTTACTGAAATAATCTAGACTTTTTCATGCAGAGCAGCAGCTCCATAATAACTCAATATTAAAAGTCTCTTTTCCCCAAAAATTCTGACCTTAATCTTTTAAAACACAAACACATAATGAAACATGAACTTTCACCATCTTTTCAGGATTCATTTGAACAAATCATATTCTGTACTTTTCCAGAATTTCAAAGGGCTGATAGAAAACTTCAACTTGACTTGAAACTATAAAATATCAGATAAAATTTTTTTTTACCACTTTCCCTCAAAATCTCCATGCTAATTTATGCATCGTCCACATCAGATGACAGTCAGTGTTCTGTAAATAACACAACAAAGTGAACATTGTCCTTATAAAATGATGGCAGATCGCCTGGTGCAGAAAAATTCATCCTCACACAACACATCTCAGTTTATTCAGGAATAATCCTCTTATCCCGTCCTAATGTGGATGAAGGAGCAGCCAAGCAGCCTCCAGGCACAGCAGCGTTAATGAGAGCAAAGCATAAGTTTTTTTTTTCTTTCTTAAATAAAGCTGCAGCAGGTGTGAATGCCAACGAAACGCTCTAAAAGGAAGCCATCTGTTCCAGTACAGTAGGAGCTGCAGTTTATTAACAGGCTAAGCAAACCGCCGGGTGATGCTATAGGTTAGGAGGGAGTCTGCAGGTCGGACACGACCCACACGCTCAGAGCAACAGCATCCAGGCTTCCACAGAGCAACCAACTCAATTAGGCCTGAAGCAATTAATCATGATGAATCGATCACTGAAATAAAGAAACTAAGTAAGTAAATGATTAATTGATAACTGGAGTATACAAACCCGAAAAAGACAATTTGTGGAAAGAACAACATATTCAGAATAGTAATTAAGTCAAACAAACAAAAAAAAGTATATATATATATATATATATATATATATATATATATATATATATATATATACATACATACATACACACATTTTGCATTTTTGATAAAAAAAGGACATCTGTCTGTCATAAGGCTGCAATTACAAATTATTTTAGAACCGATTATTCTATCAATTAATCAGATATAAACAACCATTATACAAATATTTATACGGTAAAAAGGTTTAACAATTGTTTGCATCTATTAAAAGATGCAAACAATTCCTTTTTTAGTAAGAAAAGCAAGCATTTTATTCCTTAAAATGCAGTATTGCATTCCTTTAGAGAGTTTTAACTGGGTGAAGTTAAAACTTTAGCCAAAACTAAACTTCAGCCATATTTATGTCACGTGGTTAAATGAAAAATAATAATTTACTAAAATAATTATTTGCAGCCCTAAATTCAATGGTGGTATAATTAAAAGCACATTAATATGAAGAAATCCTATAGATTTGCATAAAAACAACATAAACATCGCCAAGTAGTGTTTTTCAACATTAAAATACTATATCTAAGCAGTTTTATGTCATAGACGGTGATCCAGATGGCTTCGTCCACAGATGGGAACAACAAAGAGTCGACACACTCAAATGTGATTGTTTTGAGTTGCTTAAGAGTTTTCTAAAAAGTTATGTGCAAATATTTGATTAGAACACCCAGATCCAGTTGAAAATAACCATCAAGAAGAAACAAAAAAAAAAGAGAAAATTATGTCAGATCTACTAAGTCATAAAAAAAAAAAAAAAATTCCACTTTTTTTTTTTTTTTTAACAGCGGGCCGTCTGAGACGACAGAACCTGGAGTGGTTCTGTTCAGACGTTTTATAAAAACAAACCCGCAGCAGACCCGTCTCCCCTGCTGCCGCCGGCACACAGAGGACACATTCATCCCCAAAAACGGGCACCATGAGGCGGTGGAGGGGGACTGGAAGCAGAGACACTTCAGCTCTAAGGAATTTATTCAAGCACTCTTACGGCCACGGCAGCAGCCAAACTCAATCTGCAAGAATCAGAAAAAAACCGACTCAGTTCTGACCCGATGAGCGTTGATTTAATGAGCTCCATCCCCGTCAGGAGAACAGAATTCCTTTTCCACATACTCGGATGTTTACACAGTTTTTCTTCTTCTTTCTCACTCTGCAGCTGAGGTCTTGAACTTTATGAGTCTTAAAGAATGAAGGCAGGAGTTGATTTTTCTTCTTCTTGTTCTTCTGTTTGAGGTTAACGATAAGGGAGCAGAATGAGTCTTTCCCCCACTTCAGGATTCACGCAACATCCATAAACTTTTGCCAAGCTTGGACAGACAATTATCCAATATACTGGAAAGGATACAGCTGTGCTTTCAAAGGTACAATTTATCATGTTGCAGCCAACACTTTAGTATATTTTACTGGAATTTAAATCAAAAAATGGTTCATAATTCTGAAGTGGAAGATAAAGGGTACATACATTTATGCAAACTCCATGCAGAAAGACCTCAGACCGGGATTTGAACCAAGGACCTTCTTACTGCAAGGCAACAGCGCTACCCTTTAAGTCAGCTGCAAATCTGCAAAATAAAACTGCAACGTGGCCGAAACACTGAGTTCATTTAAATCAAAGCTAAAAGCCCAACTGTTTTAAGTTGCTTTGGAGGCATAATAAATAAAACATTGGCCAAAATATTTAATGCGGCACAACAGCACTTGACAAAATGAATGTTCACTGGTTTTCTCAGTTGTTGGCTGTGTGGTGTCTTTAATGACTTTTTGTGTTTTTAATGATGTAAAGCACTTTGAACTGCCTGGTTGCTGAAATGTGCTACACAAATAAACTTAAAAGTTTTCTTTTAATATTTTGTGGTATTATTGTCATAACAAACACAGTGATGGCATAAAAAGCAGTTATTTCCTTTAAATATCTGTACGGCTGTGACTTAAAACATTCAGTCCTTGAAATGCGCTTCTCTACTCATTTTAAAAATTGAGATGTATATCAATAAATTGCACTCATCAAATGCATTTAATTGTGCTTTTTTGAATTGACTGATATTTATTGCTGCTTTTGTGTAAAAGAAAATAATATTTCTACATTACTGTTAGTTTATAAGGGCAAAAATGAATCTAATTTTTCACTAGAAATGCTCATTCCTGTCATGAAGTCCAAGGAAAACAGGTGGTAGCAGCATCATGCTGTGGGGTTGTTGTTTTTTTTCCATGTAAAACAAGAAAGCTGATTAGAGTTGATAGAGAGACAGATGAAGCTAAAAACAGGACATTCCTGGGGGGGGAAAGAAGACATTAGGGGAAGACAAATAAAAAAAGTGGGTCAAATCAAAGCATGAGGATGGCCTAGTCCAAGTCCAGACCCAAATCCAAGAACAGAAACTATGGCATGACTTGAAAAATCGATGGTTGTAGATAATCTCCATCCAATCTGACTGAGTTCAGGATACTTTGCAAAGAACAATAAACATATTTATCTCTCTAGATGTCCAAAAGCTGGCAGAGAAATAACCAGGACTGGATTTAAAAGAATGGGGCCCCTGGGCTGGAGCCAGTTTGGTGCCCTATCCCAGAAAAAAATAAAATTGTTAGGCAAACCCACACATTTACAGGTGCAAATTGATGAATAGTTTGTTAAAAACATCTGACAGATGACTCCATGTTGGTCCCAGAAAGACCATTTTAGAATATTGCTGCGTAGATTAAATTGACAAAACTTCAACAGCATTAAAAAAAAATACCACATGCAAAATGAGACCATGTTTGGAAAACACACACAGTATACAACAACAATAATTTGGGAGCCCCCTAAAACTCAGAGCCCTGGGCTACTGCCTCTTTTAACCAGTTCTGAAGTCTGGCTCAGGACATACCTCCAGTATCTACAGGAAAAACGTATTTTTGTCCCACAGTGGAGACATTTTAGGTATAACACCTAAAATATGTTACACTTAAGGACGTAGGAGCATGCAGATACACTTTTATCATTAAAAAAATAAAAGTTCCCTAAAAGGATAAATGATCCAAAACAGAATAAACGCAAACAGAAACCCACTGTTTCGTACGCTTCACAAAAAAGGTTTGAGGTGCAAACCTCTGAAGAACACAATGCATCCGTACATTTCACTCATTATGCAGGCAGAGTTTGCTGGCGCTCTAAATTTCAGTTGTTTCTCCCCCTCACCGGGGGGCGATGGGGGAGGGGTCCTACTCCAAACACAAACTTTAACTCCGACTTTTCACATCTAAACCCCGCATCCAGGCAGAAGTCTCGGTTATGTGACCAAGATGATGATTAATCAGCGTTTTAACCAGCAGAGCATGCTCAGAAGTGGATACATTGTAACAGAGCGAAGAGAAACTTAGTACCGACCTTGGAGGCAGATGAATCCAGCTGCGTACAGAACATCCAGGAGGGTTTTTCCTCTCCGGGTTACCCCGGGGTTTACTCTCCGCCGGGTTTTACCCCCTGCCGGTACGTCCATGGTTTCCAGTTCGGTTTTCCTTTAGAAAAACCCGCAGCTAGAGTCAAAGCGAGAGTCGAGTCACCGTGTGCGCACAGGTATCCCAGCGCCGCTTCCCTGCGCAGCTCCCCCGGGGGAGAAGCCCGGACGGCCTCGGCTGCTCACCTGGTTTCACCGGAACACGGCAGGAACAAGAGGGAACCCAAACCAGGCCAGCCTACACGAACCACTGAGTTCACACTGAGCAGCTCCGCCGAAAGTTTGGACCCAACTCTAGGAACTTCCAGGTGGCTCACAGGGGGGAAGCTGCGGGAAATGTCGGCTGCTGTGACTCATTCCAGCCCGCTGCGTGGGTTCGACCGAGCTCAGAACCGCCCGGACCGCCTTCAGCCCGGTTTATCTCCCAACTCTGCTTCCTCCCGCTCCGCAGACTCTGAGTGGAGTGGATTTTCTTTCTCTCCCTCTCCCTCTTCACACACATGCAGTGAAGCAGGCTGGGAAAACGGGAAGCGCTTCCTGTAGATACCTTTCACAATTAGAGTCGCAAAGCGGTGGAAACTTGGGATTTTTTCCCAATTTTGCGCCTCTACTTTTGCATAACTCCTCAAGAAGGCCAATCAGATGGATTCTCTTTTGAATTTAAGTCCAGACTTTGACTAAACCATTCTGCAGAGGTGGGTAGCGGACCTAAAAATGGTTCTCAAGTAAGAAGACACTTAGTACGATCTAGTCGATATGATATAGACATATATTTACTTGAGTAAATATATATATGTCTTCGACATATATTTACTCAAGTAAAAGTAAAAAGTAGCCAACCAAGAAATTACTTAAGAGTAAAAAATATTTGGTTAAAAAGTCTGAGTAACTGATCAAATTACCAGTCATTTAACATTTAGAAATTACATCATCAGGCGGACCAAAGTACGAAGTGGACATTTTGGTATTCTAAAGACCAAAATGAGAATAATTCATACAAGTAACAAAAAGTAAACTTAGGCAAAATAAAAATAGTCAAAATCAAAGTACTTCAATATAAAACTTTAACAAAAACTGCAGGTGTGTCTCTGTCAGTTAATTGAGTAAATGTAACTAGTTACCCAAGTCAGCCATTTTGATAAATTAATATGCTTTGACCTAATTTTGGCAAAAAAGATAAATGAGACATATTTTTTTAAATATTTTTTTTTCATTTAACACAATTACCACAGAACCTTTGGTGATTTTCCACATTACTTTCACATTAAACATATATTTTAAAAAATTACTTTGAAGTTCTCTACATCCTTTTAACAACGTGTATAATTCCGGCACCTTGACACATAAACCTCTCTTTTCCAAATGCTGCTTCCGGTAACTCAACTTGGATCAGGAATACAACAGCGCGACCCTCCGGTTTAAACAATCACAGTCTTTTTAAACTTAGACATTCTTTATTTGATGCAAATATTTGACATAAAAAAAATTAAATAACTTAAGTTAAGTGTCAACGATCTACAAATGAGTGTAAATTGAGTTTAACGGCCCATAAATATAATGAAACACAATTTGTGTGGGATACTTTAAAATTTTAAATACATTTATTGCTTATGTTGCACATGATTGGAGGACTTTAGCTGTAATGAATGAAGCTGTGTGCCGACTAGATCGTTTCTAACAACATCACCTGGACAAAAAAGACAAGAGAACTATTAATCAAAACGTTTTTATTCAAGAATCCTCAGAGAAAGTGGCTACTGATTACACACAGAACTGTTCATGAATCTGATGTTCTAACCTTCTAAAACGTTCCGTTTAATCCCAACAAACGGATCAGGATCACCTCTTAAGATTATGATGACTTATCATTTGATGCATTTTTTTCTTACAAAGTATTCAGAGTCAGGAAGACTTATAAAATATAAAACTGTATTAGGACAATCCAGTTCTGAGGAGACGCTTCACTAAAAATGCAATCAGTGAGAAAAAGACCACCACCTGAGAATCGTGCAAAAACAAACCATCCCCATCCTGATTACTGAATAACTTTATACAAACATGCTCTCAAAATGTGGCAGCTAGTGCTAAGAGGCTTAAACCCTGCACCGAATATTTTTAAGACATCCAGGTCCAGATAAATCAAGCAGCCTAAGGTTTTTTTTATTCCGAAACACAATTTTAAATATTGTTTTCCAGCTTTTTGAGTCCAAAATGCCTCAAAGTTTTAAAGTTCAGCAGCAGAAAAAAAAACAGTTTTACATCAAAACAGTAAGTTAAAGCAGCAAATAATTTCGCACGACTTAACATTGTATCAGTCTGATAAATGTTTCACCCTGTACCCCAAAGCTTTAACCTAACTGGAAATTAAATCTGAAAAGGCAAGAAAGCACGTTCAACCAACCTCATCTCAAACCTCAAAGCCTACAAAGTTTATTTTCTTGCACTGATAAAACAATCAAATGGCACAGGAAGAGAGAAAGTCACAAAAATTTGAGATCCAAACAACACAAGAGGATAATAAAACCAGCACGAGTGACTTTATGGCAACAAATCAATTCAAAGTGCAGAAGCTACTACCAACACGTTTATGAGGCACTCAGGCAACGGAGAAGTTCAGGGCCATGATGAGAGGGGGTAAGGCTGTTGGTCAGCAGGAGACAGAAACATTTAAAACCACAATGTGTCAGTGATGCAGGGAAGTCTCCAACTGTGAAGGTCTCGGGTGTTTGGAGTGCTTAAGTGCCCAGCGGCGAGGATAACAACCCTTAAGGAGCTGGTTCTGTGTGGTAGTGTCGTCAGTCATTGTTATGTCTCAGGAGACGAGTCGGTATAACTCTGATGTGGAGATGCGACCTCTTGAGCTGTTCACTTCCCAGTGTACAGGTCCACAGTGCTGGAGCTCAGGCCCCGGCTTTCCCTGAAGTTTCCGCCTCCTCGAGTCTAGAATGGAGGTTCAGAACAATTGAGTTTGCACCACTCTGGTCAACACAACAAAACAAGCTTGCACCCCTGCAAACAATCTTTGCATGTTGCAGAGTTTGCACTGATATGGCATCAGAACGATGTTTGTTCTGATGCCTTTTCCTCATCAGAACAAACAATGTCTTTTGGTCTTTGTGCAACAAACACCAGGATGAGCTCTTTGCTGGCCAAGAGTTTAAAAGCCAATGATACATACATACTATCAAACGTATGTATGTCCCTTAAATTTTGCTCATTTTTCTGTGCATCAACAAACTTTAATGTGTCCTATAGTTTTTTATGTGAAGTAAACAATTCATTGATCAGGGAAAGTGAAATGATAATTAGTTTTCGAAATTCGGTACAAATAAAAATGTGAAAAGGAAGCGTAAAGAGATCCCAAATATTTCTATCCTCACCTGGAAAGAGTCGTCACTTGTTCTGTTCAGGTAATTCAGTGAAGCAGCTCTCTTCATGCTGGGAAAGTAAGAAGAGAAACAGTTTATATATCAGGTTATATGATCTAAGAACCTGTCACACTTTGAAAGATGAAACTAGAAAAAAAACTGTCATTATTATTAACTTGCATTTACTTCAAATAAAACAGTTTATTTGTTAATTACTTGGTGTTGCGAGGTTCAGGTGGAACATTGCCCTGCAGTTTCTTAACCAGCATCTCGCTGCTGCGACGTAAAACGTCTCTGAGCTTCCCCAGAGAGCCGCTGCGCTGCAGAGCTCCGCTGCCGTCCTGCAGACACACACACACTCAATCTCATCAGCCATTCATTGACGGGACGCTGCTTTTTCATTTTTTTTTTTACATTTTTAGGCCCATGTTTGTTCCAGTATTTTTGAATTTGTGACAGAAAAAAATAGATACGCCTTCGTGAAAACATGCTGAAGAACAGATGCTGCCTTGTGGATGTGCCTCAGTTATAGTTAGGCAGGAATGTAAAATCAGGCAAACTCATGCATTGAGACATCTCCCTGCTGTGATGTTCTGGTGAATTTTTCTTCTTAATCTTCACTACCTAGAGCTAAAGTGATCACTAAAAACAGGATCAGGTAGTCATTATTGAGGCAACCTTAGCTGAAGTCAACACACCCTCTACCAGCTAAAAGCAGCTTGTTTTAAATTTACCGGTCCCCTGGTAAAGACGTGTAAAAAAAAAAGGCCTAAAATATATTATTTATGTATTGCAGTACATAATTATAAAATGAGAAGCTAAAGTGAAGTCAGAGATTTGGAGCCGGAATGTTTGGGATCCGATACAATTAAATATAGATCATTCAATTGTACAATTTTGCTCTTTTTTTCTTGTATATTACATTTTTTTCCATTAAACAAATCTGGGTTTTCTCAAACAACCTAAGTCTTTTCCTCCTTTAAAAAGGTGTCAGAGGCCATATCACCTGCTTCAGTAACCTTCTCTGCACCATGTTCAGATATCCACTGACAGCTGAATGAAAGGCGACCAGAGAGCAGCTGAAGCACCAGTCACTAACACTTATGATTCGAAAAGCAAAATCTGACTTTTTGAAACTGGAAACCAGGCCTTTCTCTATGTTTTGTCTAAACATGGTTAAACAGCTTATCGGCTGAATTATCAAAAAGTCCCATCAAAACACCTTGGCTTCCGGAGTTAGCTGTAAGCTACTAGCTGCAGGGGAAGTGGCACTGCCTCACCCTGTAGTGATTGACTTCTTGCAGATGTGCAAAGCTGCCATTCCCCTGCTTGGATCTCTGAGTAGCTACCTTTCAGACAGCCAGGATCTCATCATAGTCTCAGTCTCTGACACTTTTTGTCAGTTGCTAATAAGAATGACTGATCCGCCATCATCATCATTGCAATCCTCACTGTGTCCATACTACGGCTGCAGGTTTCCCCTCTTTGTTTTCCAGCTCAAAACAGAGCGTAACTAAGCTAAAAACAAATTGCGTCGTTCCAATATCCAAACTTTGCAATATTTTTGCAAATAGTGCAATAGTGCTACTTTTGCTGCTATTTTGTTCCGCTTCTCTTTCAGTTACTTGCACAATTTTACTTTGTTTCTTAGCAAAAAAATACAGCCCATTGTTATTCGTTGAAGATTTGAGATTTTGTATCGATACTTGTGGATGAAAAATCGATACCTTCCGAGAGGTAGAAGGTAAAAAAATGCTGAATATTCTAGAATTGATATAATTATACAACCCTAATTCTTACAGCTGTTCTTTGTATAGTTTTAGGAAACCATAATAAATATAAGTTACTATACTAAAATTAATTTCTAAAATATTCACTGTGTGAATCTTTTGAACAATTTCAAAATATTATCTTACTCCATTTTCTAGTTTTGTTTAAACAACAGCTAATCCAATGAGAAATCCATCAGCAGGCCATGATTTCTTTGCATTTGTCCTCATATTGATGAGATGGGTCATACATGTTTCAATTTTACATAAATCAAAATCTTCACTTATCCATTAAAAGTTATTTTAA